GGAGGATTCCCGCCCCCGGAGGGAGGGGCAGCGCATCCCGTCGCTCCCCCGTGTCCCGGGGTGGGTGTGGGACTGTCTCTGGCCCGGCCGGGGAGCCCGGCCGTGGCGACCGGGGCAGGGATGCACAGAAGTGGGGGGAGCGAGGCACGCTCTGCCCCCCCGCCCCCTCCCCCGCGCCGAGGGGGCCGAGCGCTGGGTGCTGGGAGTCGTGGGCGTCGACTGAGAGCCTCTTGTCATTTTGGAGGCAACGGAGTAGGAGGAGGCCCGGAGGCCCGGGTCTGCCTCTGGCAGCCCGTAGTCGCGCACCTGTTACTCTTGGGGCTGGGGGACAGCGGCCCAGGGGCCCGGGGGAGCGCTCAGACACATGCTCCTTGGTGGGGAGGGCCGGGAAGGAGGTTGAAACCGATTCTCCACCACCGCCCCCTGTCCAGCTGAGGCACCAAGAGGGAGCCTGCCGCGGGGGCTGCTCTCAGCCACCTGCTCCTCGCCCAAGGGGCCCAGTGGGAGCCCTGATAACCCTTTGCATGGGGAGCGGGAGGCGGGGGAAGGAAAGCCTTGTCGTATCCATTAAGCAGCAGCTATAATCCCTCCCTGCTGGCATCGCTCCACGGGTCACTAAGCTCTTCCGTCCACAGTCGCTAAATGCTCCTGCCTCTTCTGCAGGTGAGGAAACGGAGGCTCCTAGATGTTAATGACTGACCCAAGTGTCATCGAGGTAGAGCTAGGACTTGAACTCGGGTCTCTAGGCTTCCAGGAAGTCCTCTCCAGGGCAGCTTCTCAGCTTGCGGGGAATTCCAGGATGAATAAGACACCCCCGCCCCAACCCTCCATATTGATAGACAGGATAACTAATTCAGAGGATGCCATCCAAGGAGGCTGGAGAGAGGACCAGTAATCAGGGCTTCCTTGAGAAAGAGGGAACATTCATTCTTGGCTCTAAAGGACAAGAGCGGTGCCACTGGGCAGAGGAGGGGAGGGAGCCAGTCCAAGGAGTGAAGCCCACTGGGTGCGGACTGCTGCAACGCAAGTTCGAGAGAAAGATGGCGGGTGGAGAGGCAGGGTGGTTCAGTGGTTGTAACACTGGGGCTGGAGACCCCAGCTCTCCCACTCTCCAGCTGTGGGACCACAGGCAAGGACCTTAACCTCTCTGCCTCATTTTCTACATACACGAAATGGGATTCTTGGTCCTGGAACCTAGTTCGCAGAGATAGGATGAAGACAGAAGGAGATACTACATGTCAAATGTTTAAACTAGCACCTGCATATAGTTAGTGTTCAAAAAATGTTAACTCTTGTTATTAGGGCTTGTCAGTCAGCACAAACCACTATGGCCGTTGTCGTCCTTTGTCCTTCGGGTGATTGAGTATTTTGGTGCTCTCCCCAGGTTCATGGTCCCCAGGGCACACCAGTGACTCCCAGATCTCTTCACCACCCCCGCGCCTACTTTTCCCACTCTGGCACTCCAATGCCCAGTCAGTTCAGGGAAGACAGGAGTAAGCTTGGAAGGATGGAGTGGGTTGCTATGGCAACGGTGCGGGGGAGAGGATGGATGCCCAGCCAAGTCTGACCAAGCACCCAGGGGCAGAAAAAGGGTCTCTACTTCTTTTCTTGGAGTCAGCATTGCACTCTGTCACCCAGGCTGGAGTGCAGTGACACAATCGTGGCTCACCACAGCCTCCACGTCCTGGGCTCGGGCGATCCTTCGGCCTTAGCCGCCCTAGTGGCTGGGACTACAGGTGTGCGCCACCACCCCCGACTCATTTTTAAATTTTTTTGTAGAGCCGAGGTCTCGCTGTGTTGCCCGGGCTGGTCTTGAACTCCTGGGCTCAAGCCTCCCACCTTGGCCTCCCAAAGTGCTGTGATTATAGACTTGAGCCACCGTGCCCAGCAGGATCTCTACAAAGCTCACCCCATCACCATCTTTTACTGCATAGTCCCTGACTGGGGAAAAGCATACCCTAGAAATGCCCTGATGTCAGGGGCAAGTAGGTAGAGTGCAGGAATGGGGGAGGAGAGACATTGAGAAGGCTCTGGGGAGAGAAGGCAGCCAAGGGCTGTGAAAGCTAGGAGTGACTGGGAAGCTGGCACCCAGGCCTGGCTCAGGTTCAAATTCTGGCTTTCCTCAGTCGCCTTATCTGTGAAATGGGAGCTTCTGGGGGATGGGACATCCATGGCCCCATTCTCCCCTACTGCCCGCCTCCCCTGTGCCCCAGGACAGAGCTCAGGTCAGCCCCTGCCAGCTCCAGAGCTGTTACCCTCTCTCCCCCATCCCTCTTCAGTGGCCTGTGACCAGGACCCCGTCTACCTGCCCGCAGCCCTGGAGCTCCTGGATGCCCCCGAGCACTTCCGCGTGCAACAGGTGGGCCACTACCCGCCTGCCAACTCCTCCCTGGGCTCCCGATCTGAGACCTTTCTGCTCCTGCAGCCCTGGCCCCGGGCCCAGCCGCTTCTCCGGGCCTCCTACCCGCCATTTGCCACTCAGCAGGTAAGGAGGGGGCACCAGGGACCCCCCAGGCCAACAGGACTCAGGGCCTGAGGTCTGTGGTGTGGCTCAGGGGTCCTCCTCAGCCATAGCTGTGCTCTGCATTTTGCAGACAGGGAAACTGAGGCTCATAAAGGTTCTCTCCTGCCGAGCTGGGGTTGGAAGCCCAGCATCCCATCTTCCTGGATCTTGCTCCCCACTGCCTCTTGCTTTAGTCTACGCATTCTCCCTCCAGGTAGTACCCCCTCGGGTCACTGAGCCCCACCAACGGCCAGTCCCATGGGATGTGCGGGCCGTTTCAGTGGAAGCGGCTGTGACGCCAGCAGATCCCCATGCCCGGGTCCTCTTCCACCTCAAGGGGCAGGATTGGCCACCGGGGCCTGGCAGCCTGCCCTGTGCCCGGCTGCGTGCCACACACCCTGTAGGCTCTGCTCACCGAGCCTGCCGGTTCCAGGTGAGGGGGCAGGCCCCATCGAGGCTGACTCTGTGGTAGAGGGGAAAGGGCTCGCCCCTCCTGGGAGGCTCGGGGGTCATGGGCCACTCGACTCCATTCCTGTTCCTCTAGTTTTCAGTGCCGTGAAAGGGTTATTCAGGGCCCCTTGAGTTCAGGGCATCGTGTGTGACTTTGGGCAAGTAGCTTAATCTCTCGGAGACTCAGTTTCCTCATCTGTAAAATAGGGTGGTAATAATTCCTGCCTCCTGAGGAGCTGGAGTGAGGAATAAATGAAACAGATGCTAGAACTGCTTAGAACAAGGCAATCACTCAGTGAGCGTGTTTACGTTTTGTTAGTGTCACTTTTTTATTTGTTATAGAGATGAGGTCATGCAGTATTGCCAGGTTGGTCTTGAACTCCTGGGCTCAAGCAGTCCTCTTGCCTTGGCCTCCCAGAGTGCTGGGATTACAGGTGTCAGCCACCGTGTCCAGCCTGCTAGTATTACTTTTATAATTGCTATTTCCACGCTGTTGGAGTCTAGCACAGGATTGCCTTGGAGAGAGGACTTTTCCCGGGGCTTTAGGATTCTGAGAAGAAGGCTGAGTTTTAGGCAGAGCAGTCCTCGGGCTTGGTCACGGGGAGGCACTGGGATTGGTTTACCCTGGCGTGAGACCTTTCTCAGAGGTGGGAGAGTGGTCCATAGAGCGTGTTCTGACACCCAGGCCTGGCTTCAAGCCCCAGCCATATCCCTAGTCTGCTGTGCCACCCAGGATGCGTCTGGCCCACACTGGTCCTTCCTGTCCTGGTCCCTTCCAGCTCTGGGTTTCCTGCCGTGGGTGCTGGGGTCCTCTCCCCTCCCCCAGACCCCGACCCCTGACCACGGCTGTTGTGTCTTCGCAGCCATCTCTGGGTGCCTGTGTGGTGGAGCTGGAGTTCCCCTCGCACTGGTTCTCCCAGAGCTCCGGTTCGCGGGCTGAACTGGCCTACACGCTGGAGCCTGCGGCCGAGGGCCCTGGGGGCTGCAGCCTCGGTGGGGAGGATGATCCTGGGGAGCAGGCCCTCCCAGTGGGGGGAGTGGAGCTGCGCCCGGCAGACCCCCCTCGGTACCAGGAGGTGCCTCTGGATGAGGCTGTGACCCTGCGGGTGCCCGACATGCCAGTGCAGCCCGGCCAGCTCTTCAGTGCCACCCTCCTGCTTCAGCACAACTTCACGGCCAGCCTCCTGACCCTGCGGTGAGTGCCGGGTCCCGGGATGGATGGAGCCAAGAGTCTCTGCGGGAGGACTGGGAGACTTGCTCCCTGCTCTTCCTGGGGTCCTGGCTGGCATCCTTGACCGCTGCAAAGCACGAGTCCATCAGACCCCTTCCAGGCAAAGAGCTGTGATTTCGGCAGCACCCAGTGATGGACCTGGAATTTGGAGTCAGAAGTAGGAAGCCGCCTGCTCCCTGGCCCCTCCCTGAGGCCTCTCGTTCCCATGGAGCTAACGTGGCCCGCTTTACAGGCAGCTGTAGCCTCCAGGGAGGGAGACCAACAAAGGGCTGGACTATTGCCCTAATGGCCCAGAGATGGATATTTTTCCCATCATGGTCATCTGTGTATCTCCCCTGCTTACCGCCCTCGCTGGGGTCTCTGGC